AAATTAGAATATAATTAAAAGTTGAAGTATAAAATATGGGAAAATATCATTTTTATCTAGTCTAAGATATTGTACATTTTTAATGTACCTCTGACAAAAAATGTTGCCAATTAAAGTGTAACAGACTAATGACTATAAGACCAATCACAAATTTAGAGAGATTAAAATAAGAAAATTATTGCGCTGGCATAAATAAATTATGGTAAGTAGGTTGATTGTTGAAGATGATTTGATATTAATAAAAGCTTAAGTAGTCTGTTAAGTCTTCATCAGAGAAGAATGATTAAGTTTATTTAAAATATAGTGAAAATCAGGAAATGATTTAAAAGCCTAGATTTTAATGTTTACACAAGCAAAACAAAATGTACTTAGACTTCCAATTCTAGTGTCACTAGCTTCCTATTCTTCCTGATTTTCTTCTGACAAATCATTAGTACTCTACTCTTAGTCCATGGACCATATCTCCATGATCCAGACCAAGCCAGAATATTCACAATTACTTATTACTTGAGTCATCAGAATATTTGTTGTACCCATTAGAGATGTTCTCTTTTTCCATTCACAACTGGCATGACTGTAAGAACCCCACAAGCTTCAAGCCTGTAGGAGCCATCTTTGCTCTTGCATGGAGAGATTCAGCTCACAGAAGAAAAGTGAGCAAACAATAGAATGAATCCCCAGTAATACCATTTTAGCCTCTGAATATTGCCACATCCAAAGCTACATTTAGGCCCTAAACTTTGAGTTAACAGAAAATATTGATGCTAACCTTACTATTTCTATTATCTGCAGAACACAAATGGTATGGTTTACAGCCACATGTCTGAAAACAGACAAAGTTTTAAAGAAGTTGAGAAAATTTGTATTTCCTTCATGCTAATGTAAAATCCTTAATACAATACTTAGAGGAAAAATTGTAAGAAATTATGTTTAAATTAAGCATTATATCATATGTATGATTGTTACCAGTTTTCCTGCTATAATACTTAATATATATTTCCAAATCAGAACATATTACACTCAGATTATTTTCCAAATAACAAGCAGTTTTTATATATAAACTATTAAAATATTAATATTCATATTAATACTAAGAATAATCTGGAAAGATTTCATGTTTATCAGATTTGCTTATTCTCAGACATACACGATCAGTATCTAATTGTTACACTAAATATATGCAAGTTTGCAGAAACACTTTAATTGATTATAGCTCAAATTTAGTACTCTGTTTTTAGTACTCTGTGTTTTCTCCACTTGTGTTTAAGTCATATTTAAAAGATTTCCTATGTAATTTTGAGTCCTATCCTAAATTCTAATAAAAACAACCTACGCACATCTGTGCAATTTTGATAAATTAATATTTTATAAGCTGGAAGAAACAGAGCTTAACACAACCCCTACACTGGTGATTTGGTCAGCAATTTCAAAGGATTAATCGTGCATTCCAGGAAAGGCAATAATCCCTATAATTATGCCTTTTCATTTATTTGGGAAAAAGTATGATTTTTTACTCTTCCTACCCAATATTTTGATTTTGCATTCCTACTAATATGAAATAAGGTAAAACACACTTTCAAAGATATCCTCTGTAGGAACATTTTGTGATTATTCGCAAAGTACATTTTCCTAGTTATATTTCTAAGTCTCTCTTAGAGACCACTTAATTGATTATAAGTAAGATATATAGAAATTGTGTGGTTAAGAATATGAGCTATGAAATTAAACTTGTTGTGGATGAATATGTACTATTTGCTACTTATTTGGCCTTGGGCAAGTTATTAAATCTCTTGAGACTGCAGTTTCAATGTACCCTAACTTACGGAATTATGAGAAACAAATAAAACACTACTTTCGGCACAGTGACTGGAACATAGTAAATACAAAATAAATACCAGCCAGTAATCATCCTGGTATGTCAAAACCACAGCATTTTTAAAGACTTTATTAATTTCCATAGGACAATACTACCCTGTGTTCATCCCAGCCTAGTCACACTTGCCTTTGTGTTATTCCTTGAACAAGTCTTGACTTCAGGACAGGTGCCATGTGGTTCTCTCTATATGGAATGCTTCCTCCAATAGCCTCTCAAGGCTGGCTTCTTACTTCTTTCAGACTTTGCTCAAATGTCACCTTTTCAGAGAGAGCCTCCATGACAACTTATCTAAAATAACAGTCCATCTCAAAACTGCTATCATTTTTACCTGCTTGTTCCTTCTTTACTCTATTTCTGGTATTCATAGCCTACCTTTTTTTGTGTACTTGTTTGTGAACTGTCTGTCCCCTAAAATTTAAGCTTACTGAGGTAAGGAACTTCACTGCCTTGTTTACCTTTCTACCCTCAGTATGTATCTGGAACAGTTCCTGGCACACACTAGGTGCTCAGTTAATATCATTTAAATAAATAAATTAATAATATGGATAATTAGTCTCAGAGATACTGATATTTTAAAGAGAGCCACTTTGTATAAAACTGTTACCTCCATTTAAACATAAAAAACGTGAAACTTACTAAGATAAAATTTGCTATCCACATAATGAAGAAAGGTTTATTGAAATGAGAAGTGTCAGGGCCAACAAGGCAGATGAAAGTGGACCCCTAAGGAGCCAATCTCTTCAGTACAATGGGTTCTTCATATGTGAATCTGCAAAAATCCTGTGATACCTAAGCTTCTTAAGAGATTTGTTTTTTAGCCACAAAATAACTGAGAAAGTTTTTAATCATTTCATTAGAATAGTGTACTCATGACATGTATAGAAAGATACAAATGAAAATCACTTGACTATTAATATAAACTAACATTAATTATAATCCAGAATTACAGACACAAGTAAAATTGCAAATTTCACTGATTGCATATTGCATGATGAAATTTGTATCTAGATAAAATTATTATAATCAAGAATACAAATTCTAGATATTTTGTAAAAACAGACTAGTAGAAAAACACTAGAGATAATGACTATTAATAATTTGTAATAATTTGGTTATTTCCAGCCATTTCAGATGTTATTAATTTTATATTGGCTTAAATTTTAATAAAATAATCATTTCTCTAAATTATTGCAAATTCATCAAGGTTATTAATGTTATGGTCAAATGTGCATATAATTTAGTAAGCTAATCTACAAATGTTTACCATTTAAACAGTTCCCATTTTCTCTCTCATAAAGAATTTCAATTTTGATTTATAACTTTTAACTAAAAATTATCTGTGATAAACTATAAGAATTTTTAAATCCTGAATATATTTTATTCTATATCCTTGTTGAAATAGGCATCAATATTTTTAAAATTTAGCTGATTTGATAACTTTATATTAGACTATCTTGTAGTGTTGACTATCAGGAATGTTTTCTATCATTATCTACAGTAGTTCTCTTATGTACACACTAAATGTTCAGGTTGATTTTGTGAATCTAGAAAGCAATGCCCAAGAGCCTATAATGCCTGAGTGTTTGGGAAGCACATTTTGTATCATTTTATTTTGTTTATTTATTTTAATCCTTACCTGAAGATATATTTATTGATTTTTAGAGAGAGAGGAACGGGGGAGAGAGAGAAAAAGAGAAGCATTGATGTGAGATAGAAACATCAATAGGTTGTCTCCCATAAGCACCCCAACTGAGGACTGAATCCACAACCTAGGTATTTGCCCTAACTGGGAATCAAACCTGAAACTTTTGGTGTATGGAACAACATTCCAACCAACTGAGACACTGGCCAGGGCTATATCAAGAGTTTTAAACATGTGTCTATTTCTTGCCCCAGACATCTCACTTAAGATAACAAAGCCGAAGGGTACAACCCAACAAAGGTCAAGGGATTTATGTCTAAAGATGTTGACAGTACTAAAAGTTTGAACCATAATATTTCTCTATGATTTTAATATCGTTGGCTGTTATTATTAGAAGCTTAGCCTTTTGCGTTAGAGGGTATTTGTTTTTCATTTTTGTGAATGATATTTTTATGTCACTTTCTCAGGTATCTGAAATATTGAGTTTCAAGTTGTGATATAGCATCTTGAGTTAATACTGCCTTGAAAACTGCAGCTTAGGTACTACCAATAAATAAAACCAATGAAGTTGGATGCATTTTCTCTTTTCTAAGGAGTTGTAATCTTATTTCTTTGAATTACTTATTTAAGATTTCACTGCTACTTTGTTCTCCAACAGTTTTTTAAATATATATTAAGAAAATAATATACACTATGATATTTATGTGATAAATTACATAAATGACCATTTTTAGTCATAAAAAGACTATTATTTGAGATTTTAAAAATTAGGATGTTACATAGCTATATTTTATCATTTTGAACAAGTATTCAGAACAATGAGTACATTGGTATTATTCAACAATTACAAAAGACATAATTAGTGTAATAATTACTTTCATTTACTGATAATTATATGTATTTTAAGATATCACATGTGGAAAATTAAATATTCAATTATTATAAACAAATAATTAAGGGTACATTATTTAATATTATAAAGAAAATATAGACATTTATAAATATTAAGGTATGACTAATACAATCTTTTGAGGTAAGTATTATTTCTTATTTTAATCATTAGTCAGGGTTGAGCAAACATAGTAGACTTATTGAGAAGGGTGATCTACACTTGGAATTAAATGATTACTTCTTACCCTTTAAAGTGTGTCAACATCTTATATAGTTTAAAATTTTATATATGCATAGATGTATAATACCATTGTATATATAAAATATGTATATTTTCATATCGTGCTAATTTATTAACTGTATTTAAAACCTCTCGATTCATTATTGTGAATTTTCAGGAATCTAATAAACAGTGTTACAATTTATAACACACTATTTTAGGTATTTAAGACATCCTAGACCTATCTTACATTTGTATTTAGTAGTTATATACAATGGTTATATATAAATATACATAGTTGTTATAATGTTACTAGCATTTTCCCTGGAATTAAAAACATTCCGAAGACAAATAGGCATCATTTGTATTACCTGAAAGTATGTGAATTGAGAATGATAAAGATCTGGATATACATGAAGAGTAGTTCCGATCACAAGTAGTAGCTCAAATTTGTGGAGAGATGAGCTAATATATCCAGTAAATCCCAAACACCATATCTTTAGAAGGGCTTCCAAATCAAAAAGTACAGTAAAAGCCACCTAGAAGAACAAAGAGTGAAAATTAAATCTAAAACTATTTTATTCCAAAATGTTTCATATATTTGTCAGTGCAGGAATTTCAGCTACTACCATATTAAATGAGGAGGCCACAATAATCTAGAAAGACATTTCATTAGTTTGAAACACACCAACTACAACATAGCAGACCAAATATATCTTATCAGAAAACTTGTTAAAATGTTAAAAGTTTGCAAGTGGCATTATGTCTTCACTGTCCAGTATTTGATAATGTGTTGGCCAAAATGTTCATTTGATTCTAGTAGCACTTAGTTGTCTTTAACTTCATTAAAAAATAATTGTGTTAGATTGTATTGTGTGTGACAGCTGTCATATCAGCATACATTAAAAAATTCAAAATCAGTGAATTTTTGTGTAGCTTTTTTAATATTGAAGAACAGAGAAAATAAGCAACATTTTTGGCATATTATGCTTTACTGTTTCAAGAAAGGTAAAAACTCAACTGAAATGCAAAAAGAAAAAAAAGATTTGTGCTGTGTATGGAGAAGGTGCTGTGACTGATCTAAAATCTCAAAAGTGGTTTGCAAAATTTCATGCTGAAGATTTCTTGCTGGATGATGCTCCATGGTTGGGTAGAACAGTTGAAGTTAATAATGATCAAATAGATATATAACTGAGAGCAAGTGATGTTATACCACCTGAGAGATAGAACACAGACTCAAAATATACAAATTAATAATGTTATTGGTGAAAATAAATGTGTCTTTTATTTTATGGAAAAGACCAAATGGACTTTTTGGCCAATCCATTTAAAAGTCGTCGCCATTGATAGAATTATTGTATACAAAAAAAGGTATAGTTTTGTATAATTTGTTTATTATAAAGGTAGTTTCTATATGCATATGGTATATTATAAAACAACTTACATATTAGTAAGCATAATTAAACTAAAATGTTTAAATATTATTTATGTTTTGGAGAGGGGAGGGAATTTAAAGGGAAAAAAGGGGAGGGATTTGGAGGAACAAGTATGAAGGACACAAGGACAAGAACTAAGGGGGATGGAAATCGGAGGGAGGTGGGGAGCACAGGGCGGGTTGGGCTGGGATGGGAGAAATAGACAGAAAACTGTACTTGAAAAATAAGTAAATAAAATAAAAAAAATGTATTTAAAAGAGCAAAAACATATTATTTATGTTTTGGGCCACATAAATAAATGAAGATATATGGATTCTATATAATACAATATATGTCCTAATTATTAGTCAATAAAAATTAATGATTATATTACTATCACATTAATTCTATGAATTTATTATAAACACCAATATTTAAAATATACATATAAATACAACATGTATTATATCTTTACTTGTCCTATAGGTAAGAAACTCATTTTTAAAGAAGTTTGCTGGTGGGGGAAAAAGGCAGAAAACTGTACTTGAACAATTATTTGAATAAAAATAAAAAAAGACCAAAAAAGAAGTTTGCAACTAGAATTAAAATGTACAATACCATATTAACTTCTAATTAAACAGCACAAGATGGAATGTTGGGATTAGTCATAACATGTCCCTCTGAGGAGAAGCCAGATGATTCATTGGAAGAAAGGAATAAAGAAAGCTTATTTTTCTTTTTCTAGGCTACAATAGATTATGAAAAGGGGTTTTCTTTCACTTGCATTTGAAAAATGTAGAGAAAAAAGGAATTAATAATAACATTTTTGGAATAAAACACTAAAATCACTGCAGATGATTAATTTAGCTATCAGGAAGAAATTAACATTACTTTTCAATCTGCCACTTCCATAGACTCAAGTTGGTTCTCAATTTAAATAGGCATATCTCTTTAAAAAAAGTAAAACAGTAATACATTTTATCTGTGAAATAATTCTAAATACAAAGTGTTAACAAAATACCTTGCCTACCCTTATCAGGTGATTGACATGAACCACTTTGTGTACTTCCTCTCAAACCTCTCCTAACTCATCCAAACATATACTGTACAATCACATAAAACAAATTGCATTTTACATGCCACAATGCAACTTGCCTTTCTCACTCGATAACAATCCTAGACATCCCCTGCCCCACCCTTGGGATATCAGGTATGGGTCCTAATTATTCTTTTTATCAGGTGCATAATTTCCCATGTTTACTTAATTCAACATTCTCCCTAATGACTCATTGAAGAATGGGACCTCCTGAATATGAATCATCAGCAAAAATGGTTAAGAATTTTGCTGCTTTAAAAACAAGACTACATTAAACAATCCTTATGCAATATCCATACTTATTGGGCTTTCATACCTATAAAGGGAGCTGGGGCAAAGGACAGGTTTGTGGAGCTTTAAATTTTGAAAAGTATTATTAAAGTACATTCAGAATGTTATAGTAATCATTTGCCTTCCAGCAAGGTAAGAAAGTGCTTCTTGTCCTAAATCTGTACATCACCAGATATAATCAAACTAAATCAAGATTTGACTTATCTGTTCATATGTGTCTTGATCATTGAGATTTTTAAAGCAATTTTTCTATTCATAGCTTTCCCAGTTTTCTATTGTGAAGTTTTGTCTTTAATAAAACAAATAATTATTGGTGTTGTTGATATTAAGAATAGTAATCTTTGTCTGCTATATGAACTGCAAATATTTTAAAAAAGATTTTATTCATTTATAGACAGAAGGGGAGGGAGGGAGAAAGAGAGGGAGAGAAACATCAATATGTGGTTGCCTCTCATGTGCCCCCAACTGGGGAGAGATCCAGCAACCCAGGCATGTGACCTGACTTGAAATTGAACCGGGGGCCTTTTGGTTCACAAGCTTGCCCTCAATCCACTGAGCCACATCAGCCAGGACCTAGAACTGCAAATATTTTTCTCTGATCAATAGTTTGATTTTTAACTTCAGTGGTATTCACCCTATAAGCACTTTAAATCACCTGTTCACAAAATTCTACCATTATGATTTCTTTCTTTACCTTTTACATACAAAATAGGTCTTTAGAAAGATTAACATCAAGTCTTCATATCAAGGATCACGCTATGCCTTTGCACTTATTTGGACTATATATTTGATTAAAAAAATTTCCCATAAAGATGTTATTGTTCATGTGAAATTTATTTCTGTCAATTTAATATTCCAGTCAATAATATAAATGCATTTTGCTTTTAGAATTTTTATTTATTCTTAGCATTCTACCTAGTTAGTTGCAGAGAAAAGCTATATATTTATTTATATTGCTTTTTTTTCTAACAACCTCATTAGATTCTTCTATTAATTTTTTATAAGGTCTCCTGAATTTTATTAAAAATATATATTTCATTTGCAAATGAAGATAAGATTATTTTCAAGTTTGATTTTGGAGATAATTGGATTAATATATCAGCTACCATGATACAGCCGTATAGTAATATACTAAATAATGAAGTGGGAATAAGAGGAATTCACATTCCTTATTTTCAATGAAAGTTTTTTTTAGCATTCATACATAATGGTTGCAGTGAACATTGATTATTAATTTTTTCTATGTCTCAGGGCTTTGCTTCTCTTCCAACTGTACTTAGAGAATTTTAGCTTTCAACTTGTTGAAGTAGTGAAATATATCACGAGTCCTTGATGTTGACCATTTGTATATTCCTGAAATAAACCCTAAATGGTAATGGTAATGTGTTGAATTTTATTGGATAATATTTTCTTCATACTTTTTGTAGCTGTAGTACATGAAATTAGTCTATAATTTTACTTACTCTATCATATCAAGTTTTCATTAAACTTATGCTAGTTTTATTATACTTATAGAGTTCTCCATTGTATGATCTGTAATTATTTAAATAAAATGAGAAATATCTCATCTTTGAAAGTAGGTAAAACCCAACAGGAAAACCAAATGGGTCCATTTCCTTTTGTAATGGTGGATTAAAGCTTTCCCATGTTTTTCTCATTAGGGTTCAAAACTCATCTATCAACTTGGTAGTTTATACTTTGCCAAGAAATTATTAGTTTTTTCTAGATTTTCAAGACCTGTTTTAGTATACATTTTTCCAGAAAGGACCGATTCTGTTGGGGTGCATGGTTATCTTACAAATTTGGTAATCCTTTCAATCAATTTTGTGGCTTATGTTTCTCAAACCCTGAAAGTAATGTGACTTGGACCTCCAATCTTGTGTCAGGGCAGGATTGTGCTTACACATTTTCAGTAGAGCTTACTATTTTCCTACTCATCTGGAGCCCAGGCCAAGAGAGACATTTTCCTTATCACTTCCTTCTTTCACTGAGATACAAACCATTATGCATTCTAATGTTACTGGAGAGTCTGTTCTGACACTTCACTGTACCTAGCCTCTTCTTCAGGCCTGAAATTCCAAGTTCTAGGTAACAAGGATATGTGAATGCCCTCAGGGTATCCACTGGCTTTGGTGATCATTGGGAATTCTACACTTATATCATAATTTTTGGCCTTGAGAATATTCCTTAATTTCTAGGACCTTCTGCAAAGTATTTTAAATTGTTTAATATTTAGGTATTATTTTTAGTTGTTTCATACTGAGATGATTTTCAGGCACCATTTGGGGCCACCTTCTATGTTTTTTCTGTGAAAAATATACTATTTGATTTTGTGTTTAAACATAATCAAATTTCCATGTCTTTTGATAGGAAAAGTCAACCTGCCCATATTTAATATACCAAACTAATAATTGGTCTTATGTTTCTTGTTTATTGTATGTATGACATTCTTATTTCATCTTTGAATTTTTTCTTGCCTTTTTTGGCTTGGTCAAATTGTTGTTGATTTCTAGTCCTCCTTCTTAATGTGGACATTCTATTCTGCTTTTCTAATCCTCCAGTTTATTCAATCGATCATAAATCTACCTATACTTTTTACTATTGCATCAAATTTGAATTATTGTAAGCTCCTCTCCTATACAAATTTACTTATTTCCCATCCTTCACACCCCATCTAATTTACTATTTTATAGTACATCTACCACCTTGCTTGCCATCAATACCGCACCCCTTCTTG